TTCTAGTGTCTTTATCTGATTTGGGAATTAGGGTAATGCTGGCTTTATAAAAAGAGCTTGGAAGTGTTCCTTCCTCTTGAGTTTTTTGGAATAGTCTGAGAAGGGCCGGTGTTATTTCTTTGAATGTTTGGTAAAACTCCCGTGTGAAGCCATCTGGGCCAGGGTTTTTGTTTGTTGGAAGTTTTTTTATTACTGCTTCAGTTCATTGATAGTTATCATACTATTCAGGTTTTCTGATTCTTCCTGATAGAATTTTGGAAGATTGTATTTTTCTGGGAATATGTCCATTTCTTCTAGGTTGTCCAGTTTGTTGGAATAGAGTTGTTCATAGTATTTTTTACAATCCTTTGTATGTCTGTGGGGTCGGTTGTTACTTCTGCTCTTTCAGTTCTGATTTTGTTTATTTGGGTCCTCTCTCTCTGTTTCTTGGTGAGCCTGGCTAGAGGTTCATCAATCTTGTTTATCCTTTCAAAGAACCAGCTCTTGGTTCTATTGATTTTTTTGTATTGTCTTTTTGTTTATTTTTTTGTTTTGTTTTTGTTTTATTTTATTTATTTTTTTGGTCTCTATGTCATTTATTTCTGCTCTGATTTTTATTACTTACTTCCTTCTACTTACTCGAAGAGGAGTGGTGAAAGTGGCCATCCATGTATCATTCCAGGCTTTTCCCATTGCTCTCTTTCTAGTTCTTTAAGTTGTAGGGTTAGATAACTTACTCCAGTTTTTCTTATTTTTTTAAATATATTTTATTGACTTTTTACAGAGAGGAAGGGAGAGGGTTAGAGAGTTAGAAACATCGATGAGAAAGAAACATCAATCAGCTGCCTCCTGCACCCCCTCCTACTGGGGATGTGCCCACAACCAAGGTACATGCCCTTTTCCGGAATCGAACCTGGGACCCTTCAGTCTGCAGGCTGATGCTCTATCCACTGAGCCAAACCAGTTAGGGCAGTTTTTCTTATTTTTTGAGGTAGGCCTGTAGTAGTGTGAACTTCCCTCTCACGACTGCTTTCACTGTGTCCCATAGATTTTTGATTGTTGTGTTTTCATTTTTTTCCAGAATGTTTTTTATTTCTCCTTTGATCTCTTTGGTAACCCATTCATTGTTTAATAACATGCCATTTAGCCTCCATGTCTTTGATTGTTTTTTATTGCTTTTTTGGTAGTAGATTTCTAATTTTATGCCATTATGTTCTGAGAATATGCTTGATATGATTTCAGTCTTCTTGAATTTGTAGAGACTTGACCTGTGTCTTAATATATGGTCTGTCTTTTAAAATGTCCCATGTGCACTTGTGGAGAATGTATATTCTGTAGCTTTGGGTTGAAATGTTCTGAATATGTCAATTAGTTCCATCTGATTTAGTGAGTCGTTTAGGATTGCTGTTTCTTTGCTGAATTTTTGTCTAGGGGAATAATCCACTGATATCAGTGAGGTATTAAAGTCCCCTACTATGATTGTATTGCTGTCGATCTCTCCTTTGATATCTTCCATAAGTTTTTTTGTGTATTTAGGTGCTCCTGTATTGGGTGTATATATGTTTACCAGAGTTATAGCCTCTGTTGAATCGATCCCTTTACTATTATGAAGTAGTCTTCCTTATCTCTTGTTATGGCATTCACTTTGAGGTCTATTTTGTCAGATATAAGTATTGCTACCCCAGCTTTTTTTTCATTTCCATTTGCCTGAAAAATTTTTTTCCACCTCTTCACTTTCTGTCTGTGTGAATCCTTTGTTCTGAGGCGGGTCTCTTATAGTCAGCATTTATATGGGTCCTGTTTTCTTATCCACTCAGCTACCCTATGTCTTTTGATTGGAGCATTTTATTCATTTACGTTTAAGGTTATTATTGACTAGAGGCCCGGTGCACAAAAATTTGTGCACTCGGGGGTGGGGGGTCCCTTAGCCCGGCCTGTGCCCTGTCGCAGTCTGGGACCCCTCGTGGGATGACCACCTGCTGGCTTAGGCCTGCTCCCCGGGGGATTGGGCCTAAGATGGCAATCTGACATCCCTCTGGCAGCCCGGCAGCCCTCAGGGGATGTCCAATTGCCAGTGGGGAGCAGGCCTAAGCTGCATTCGGACATCCTTAGCACTGCTGAGGAGGCAGGAGAGGCTCCCACCACCACCGCTGTACTGGCAGCCATCAGCCTGGCTTGTGGCTGAGCAGAGCTCTCCCTGTGGAGTGCACTGACCACCAGAGGGCAGCTTCTGCATTGAGCGTCTGCCCTCTGGTGGTCAGTGTGTGTCATAGTGACCAGTCATTCCCAGTCTTTCTGCTGTTAGGGTCAGTTTGCATATTACCCTTTTACTATATAGGATAGAGGTCTGGTGCACGGGTGGGGGCCAGCTGGATTGCCCTGAAGGGTGTCCCGGATCAGGGTGGGGGTCCCGCTGGGGTGCCTGGCCAGCCTGGGTGAGGGGCTGATGGCTGTTTGCAGCTGGTCACACCCCCTTCAGGGTTGGGGTCCCCACTGGGGTGCTTGGCCAGTCTGGGTGAGTGTCTGATGGCTTGTTTTCAGGCTGGCCACACCCCCTTTAGGGTGGGGGTCCCCACTGGGGTGCCTGGCCAGTCTGGGTGAGGGGCTGAGGGCCATTTTCAGGCTGGCCAGCGACGGAAGCTCCCAGCCTCTCCTTTTTTTCTTTCTTTTTTTATTCTGAGATTTATTTACCTTCTATAATTGAAACATTGTTGCCATCACTGGGGCTCCCAGCTCTGAGGCCATGGCTGGCTGAAAGCAGGTATCTGGGGTTTGTTTAGCTTCTATAATTGAAACATTGTTGCTTTTGGAGCTCAGAGCTGCGCCGCGGCAGGCGGGAACCTTGGCTTCCTCCATCACTGGAGCAAGCAAACCTCCTGCTCGCTTCAGCTGCGTGGCTGCCAGCCGCCATCTTTGTTGGCAGTAATTTGCATCTCGCCCTGATTAGCCAATGGGAAGTGTAGCGGAGGTATGATTAATTACCCTTTTGTCTTTTATTAGATAGGATAGGTACTTGTTTGTCACCATTTTTATTCTTTATGCCTATGTTCTGTCTTCCCTTTCTATTTCTTTTTTGAGCAGTCCCTTTAGCATTTCTTGCATTGCTGCCTTGGCCTCTGTGACAGTATTCTGTTCTAAGTCTCTTAATGCCCTCTCTAGACTTTCCCAGCTCTTCTAACACTTGCTCCTAAAATAGTATTGTTCCATCAGAGACATTTCTTCTCACTCTCTTTCTGGAAAATGTGTAATACTTCCTATTTCTATGGGTTGATGCCTCTCAAGTCCATCTCCTGCCTTTTCTTCATTTCTTATCACTCAGGGTATGTTTCCAGTTGTCTGTGGGACAGCTCCATTTAATTATGCCTTAAGAGTTTCAAACTTACCATTTTCTCTTAAGTCTTCTTTCTTATACACACACACTGCAGTTGTTACCCTGGATCATAGTATGTAATCACACAGTCTGGAAACCTCAGAATTAACTTTGGCTCTTCTCTTTCCTTCCCTATATTCAGTCATTAAGTTCTCTTCATTTTACCTCTTAAGTATCTCCTAGCTTTCATTCCCCTATTCTCTATCCTGCCTTTCCTTATCTCTCACTTAGTCAATTGTAGTAGCCTCCTGATAAGGTTCCCTTTCTCCTGTTATATCATGTTCTTTCTGCTTATAATGACACTAGAGGCCTGATGCACGAAATTCATGCATGGGTAGGGTCCCTAGGCCTGGCCTGTGATCAGGCCAATCTGTGGGGCGACCGGCGGAGCAATTGGGGGCTCCCACTGGCACCTGCCTTGGCCAGCCTGGCACCACCCACTCACCAGCCCCGCCCCCACTGCCGCTGGTCGTCTCCCTCTGTAGGGCAACTGGTGGGGCAATCGAGGGGGCCCCCCGCTGGCACCCACTTTGGCTGGCTTGGGGCCTGTGGGCTGCTGGCAGCTCCCTTGTTGAGCATCTGCCCCCTGGTGGTCAGTACACGTCATGGGGAGCAGTCATTCTGGCGTTTGGTCAATTTGCATATTAGGCTTTTATTTTATAGGATTGTTTACCTGATGAATGCCTATTCATCTTTCAAAACATCCACACATATAAAATTTATCATACCCTCTTATCGTGCCTTTACAGCACATTTTACAAACCTGTACTTCAATACTTATGTTACCAGTACATTGTAATTACATGCCTATAACCCTATAAAATATACACATTCTTCCAGAATAATGACTGAATATTACTTTCTTATACATCTTCCTTCACCTCTCCCACTCCTCCCCCCAGAAAACCTCAAACTCGTGTCATGTGGTATTAATCTTTTCTTTCATTCCTTTATCCACATGAGATAGGGTAAGTCAGTCTTAAGACCCAGCCATCATTTGTATCTTCTTGTAAGATCTGGTTTGCTGACTCATCTGGAACAAATAATGGGGACAGAAAAGAATTATATCTGCCTGATTCATTAACATTTATACCTGAACTTACTGAACTTGATAATATTATTTTTAAATGGTCTGGTTGTCAATAAATACTTGAATCTAAGAAGTAGTAGCCTTTGGAATGTACCATAAAATATATTTTATACCCTTCGAGAACTCTCTCTCTTGTGCTGGGGGCAAACTTCTTCTATAGTTCCCATTCCTATTATCCTTTTCCGTTAATAGTATTTTCCCTTTACATTGGAGATACATGAAAGATAGCATATAAAAGTCAGGCTCTGTTGCATGCTCAGAACTAAATTATGAAGTATGTATGTTGAGGGGAGAGGTAATATTTGGGGGAAAGATTATAGCTGTTTTTAGTAATGTCTTCATAGAACTGACATGGTTCCTGATCAAGCACTGAAACCATTTTTAAAATGCTCTATAACTGCTATAAATACTGTTTACATTTATACAGAATGAGGTCGGGGAATTAATTCAAGGACTGACCTATGCTTTTGCTGGCAGGGATATTTGTCTTGAACCTTGATAAATAGGAGTGTTCGATGCTGTTGATACTGAACTGTTACACTTCTGTCTGTTATTTTTCAGGCTAAGCCACGCAGATATTCCATTTAATACTGGAGCCACATCATCTACCAACAATCCAGAATTTGTGGAGGGTCTCTCCCAAGATCAGTTGCTTCAGAATGAGCCTTCAAACACAGCAGAAGGCAGTGAACAGAGGCATGAAGATGAGGTAAGTTGAAGTATGTACTGTTACTGGTCTCTGAAGCTTCTAAAGAAGCATGCAGTAGGTGTCCATCATCTGGCTTTCTTGCATCCTGCAGAATTTTCTGTTTTATATTTCTTGTTTTACATAGAATCATATTAATGGTTTTAATTACATAAAAACAGGTAAACTCTTTTTTCCCCTAAGAAATTTATACCTACATCAAATTAGATTTTCAGCAAATGCTTGTTAAATGAGTGAATGCATTATTTAATTAAACACGTAATTAATGAGAAGCCTACATGCCCATGTCCAAGACCACACACTGCTCCCCAAGCCCTGCACAATGGAGTCATAGGTGTCCAAAGGATTCACACCACTTACCAATCATTCTTCCTTTCATCGGAAACATCTTTTATTCACACAGAGGTGGCACATGGGCCTGCGTAGCCATGCCCTTATTGAACTCTCAGTGTTACTTGCAAATGATTGATTACATTGCCTATGTTTTAAGGCACTCTTTTTAGCCATAAAAGAGTACCACCATTAATCTTTATTGTTTTTCTCATTTTAAAACAGCTGACTTTTTATGTTGGCATTCCTAAAGGTTTTGATGAATGCTTAAAGCTTCTCAAACATCTTAAACTCCTTAATATCTTTAATGTTACTAGGATTAAAAAACAACAACTGATACCAAATATACCATTTGCCTGGTATTGAGTTATTGTACAATTTTATAAGTATTTGGAGGAATATAATAATGTAATTAACATTTAGGTGTTTTTGTCCTATTTTGTTTATCTTTCTCTTCTCTGAAATAAGAATTTTTGTATCCATAAAACAGTATTAACTGATAAGCTATATGTATTTGTAAAATTATGAAGCAAAAATAAGTCTCTTGCATTTAATTTAAAAGGACAAGGAAAGGGGCTGTTGTAAAACTTCAGTCGTACCTCAGTCCTTTTGTTATACATTTTTTAGAGGTAATTTAATCTTTAGATTTCACTAATAATATACAAAGACCCCTGACTTTATGAAATAAACATCTTAAGGAAGAAGTAATCAAGCCAAAAAACTAGTCTTCATTTTGAATATATTATATTTACTGAAATTTTTCTAACACTTAGACATTAATTTAAACATCTGTATGCTATCTTCTGTGGGAAATAAACTGATCTTTGAGAGGTATCAATGAGAAACACCCTTCATGAATAATTTTTTTAATATGTTTTTATTGATTTTTTTTTTTTAGAGAAAGAGGAAGGGAGAGGGAGAGAGAAACATTAATCAGTTGCCTTCCACACACACGCCGACGGGATCAAACCCACAACCTGGGTATGAACCCTAACCAGGAATCAAACCAGTGATCTTTTGGTGCACAGGATGATGCTCAACTGACTGATCCACACTGACCAGGACTTCATGAATAATATTTTTTTAAGATATATTTTATTGATTTTTTACAGAGAGGAGGGGAGAGGGCTAGAGAGTTAGAAACATCGATGAGAGAGAAACATCGATCAGCTGTCTCCTGCACACTCCCTACTGGGGATATGCCCGCAACCAAGGTACATGCCCTTGACTGGAATCGAACCTGGGACCCTTCAGTCCACAGGCCAACGCTCTATCCACTGAGCCAAACCGGTTAGGGCCATGAATAATATTTTATCCCTGTGCTAAAGCTTGTCTCTTTGTTTGCTCACTGCATCTTACATCTTGTTCCGATCTACTGTGACAATGTCTGCTTCTCTGGCACAGTGCTGTTTATATGCTGCATTTCTCATGTAGAACATTCCCCTGTTGAGAGTCAGGACTTGTTAAGTGCACATAAAAGCCAAACCTTGAGTGATCATGACACCCCTTATTCTCATCTCTTAAGATTAGCACTACAATATGCCCTTTAGTGCAACAGTTTGTAATGTGGTACATAAATGGGTCTACAAGTGATCTACCTGGAGTCCCCTCTTGAAAACTACATTGAAGTTATTTGTACCTATGACAGATACAAAGAGCTTTGAATATTTAGGGTCTTAATGGCAAGAAAATGCAACTCTTTTGTTGTGTTATTTGGAGACACTTTTGTTGTTTTTATAATTTGGTTTTGGATTTTATTTTATCTTGTGTTGTAGCAAAGAAGTAAACGAGGAGGGTGGTCCAAAGGAAGAAAGAGGAAGAAACCTCTTAGAGACAGCAATGCACCCAAATCCCCTCTTACAGGATATGTTCGGTTCATGAATGAACGTCGAGAACAGCTTCGAGCAAAGAGACCAGAAGTTCCATTTCCAGAAATCACAAGAATGTTAGGCAATGAATGGAGTAAACTGCCTCCTGAGGAAAAACAGGTAATTTTTTCCTATTCCTGGTCTTTAACTTAGTTTTGCTTATATCTCAAAAATAATCTCTGTCAGAAAAGCAAATAGAATGGACAGCTGATTCTTCAATTTTGTCATGTGCCTAGCAGGGTCCTTCATAGCTTTCTTCTACAACACATTAGTTTTTATACTCTTTGAGGGTCTGCTGCAGGGTGTGAGCAGGAGGGGCTCTCAACCAAAGCAGCTGCACTGGTGTTTGATTAATATGCTGAGAGTTCACATAAGATTTTTGTAGTTGTTCAATATTAAGAAATTTATCAGCATAATTTACTCCACTAAATTCAATGAAAAGTCATGAGTTAAATGAGAAAAGGTCATTTGATATAATTCTGATCACATAATATTTTTGTTTAAAAGGTCTTACTGCTCTGATACAATTTGTAAACTAGAGTTTAAAAATAGGCATATTTAACCTATTATGAAAAATAAAGCAATTCTTGAATTCTTCCTCTTTGAAAACAAAAATTAACCCTATTATCAAACTGAAACAAATCCATTTGTTAGAGACATTTGAGAGGAATGGAGGACAAAATAGCCATGCACTGGCTGAAATGTCCCAAATGCGGAGTGATGGTTGTGCAAGTGGCTTTGGGTTAAGAAGTTCCTGGCATTCTCAGAATCTGAAAGATACTTGTATTTTTTTTTACTTTTATTTTATTGTTCAAAGTATTACAAATAGTAGTACATATGTCTACGTTTTTTCCCCATTGACCTTCCCCCAGCCTCCCATAGCCCCCGGCACATGCCCTCACCACCCCCCCCCCAGTGTCTTGTGTCCATTGGTTATGCTTATATGCATGCATACAAGTCCTTCGGTTGATCTCTTACTCCCCCCGCCCCCCAACACTCCCTAGCCTTCACACTGTACTTTGACAGTCTGTTTGATGCTTTTCTGCCTCTGTATCTATCTTTTTGTTCATCAGTTTATAATGTTCTTTATTATCCATAAATGAGTGAGTTCATGTGGTATATTTCTTTCACTGCTTGGCTTATTTCACTTAGCATAATGCTCTCCAGTTTCATCCATGCTGCTGCAAATGGTAAGAATTCCTTTTTTTTTTATAGCAGCGTAGTATTCCATTGTGTAGATGTACCATAGTTTTCTAATCCACTCATCTGCTGATGGGCATTTAGGCTGTTTCCAAATCTTAGCTATTGTAAATTGTGCTGCTATGAACATAGGGGTGCATATATCCTTTCTAATTGGTGTTTCTGTTTTCTTGGGATATAATACCTAGAAATGGTATTACTGGGTCAAATGGCAGTTCCATTTTTAAATTTGTGAGAAAACACCATACTGTTTTCCACAGTGGCTGCACCAGTCTGCATTCCCATCAGCAGTGAAGGAGGGTTCCATTTTCTACTCATCCTCTCCAGCACTTGTCATTTATTGATTTGTTGATGATAGCCATTCTGACAGGTGTGAGGTGGTACCTCATTGTTGTTTTGATTTGCATCTCTCAGATGATTAGTGACTTTGAGCATGTTTTCATGTGTCTCTTGGCTTTCTGAATGTCCTCTTTCAAAAAGTATCTATTTAGGTCCTTTGCCCATTTTTTGATTGGATTGTTTATCTTCCTTTGTTGAGTTATATGAGTTCCCTGTAAATTTTGGAGATTAAACCCTTATTGGTGATAACATTGGCAAATATGTTCTCCCATGCAGTGGGCTTTCTTGTTGTTTAGTTGATGGTTTCTTTTGCTGTGCAGAAGCTTTTTATTTTGATGTAGTCAGATTTCTTTATTTTCTCTTAGTCTCTCTTGCCCTAAGATCTGTGTCTGTAAAGATATTGCTATGACATATGTCTGCAATTTTGCTGCCTATGGAGTCTTGTAGGATTTTTATGGTTTCCCATCTTACATTCAAGTCCTTTAGCAACATTTTGAGTTTGTTTTTGTGTATGGTGTAAGTTCGTGATCTAGTTTCATTTTTTGCATGTATCTGACCAAATTTCCCAGCACCATTTATTAAAGAGGCTGTTTTGGCTCCATTGTATGCTCTTCCTCCTTTGTCAAATATTAATTGAGTATAATGGCTTGAATCAATTTCTGAGTCCTCTATTCTGTTCCATTGTTCAATCAGTATGTCTGTTCTTGTGCCAGTACCAGGCAGTTTTGAGAACTGTGGCTCGGTAATATAGTTTGATGTCTGATATTGTGATCCCTCCAACTTTGTTCTTCTTTCTCAGGACAGCTGTGGCTATTCGGGGTCTTTTTTTTATTTCAGGTGAATTTTTGGAGAGTTTGTTTTAGATCTTTGAAATATGCCGTTGGTATTTTTGGGGGGATTGCATTGAATCTATAGATTGCTTTAGGTAGTATGGACATTTTAATGATGTTGATTCTACCAATCCATGAATATGGTATGTTCTTGCATTTGTTTATGTCTTCCTCTATCTCTTTTTTCAATGTCCTGTAATTTTCTGAGTACAGGTCTTTTACCTCCTTGGTTAAGTTTATTCCTTGGTATCTTCATTTTTTTGGTGCAGTGGTAAATGGGATTGTTTTTTCTTTTCTCTTCTGTGAGTTCATTATTGGTGTATATAAAGGCCATAGATTTCTGGGTGTTAATTTTGTATCCTGTTACATTGCTGAATTCACTTATGAGGTCTAGTAGTTTTCTGCTGGAGTCTTGGGGTTGTCTATGTACTGCTACATTGCCAAATTCATTTATTAAGTCTAATAGTTTTTTGATGGACTCTTTAGGGTTTTTGTGTACAATATCATGTCATCTGCAAATAAGGACAGTTTTACTTTTTCTTTTCCAATTTGGTTGCCTTTTATTTCTCCTTCTTGTCTGATCACTATGGCTAGTACTTCTATTACTATGTCAAACAGGAGCAGTGAAAGTGGGCATCCTTGTCTTGTTCCTGTTCTTAGGAGAAATGGGTTTAGTTTTTGCCCATTGAGTATGATGTTGGCTGTAGGTTTGTCATATAGGGCTTTTATTATGTTGAGGTATGATCCCTCTGTTCCCACTTTGCTGAGAGTTTTTATCAAGAAAGGGTTTGGATTTTGTCAAATGCTTTTTCTACATCCATTGATATGATTATGTGATTTTTGTCTCTCAGTTTGTTTATGTGATATATCACATTTATTGATTTGCGGGTATTGTATCATCCTTGCATCCCTGGAATAAATCCCACTTGGTCATGGTGTATGATCTTTCTAACATGTTGCTGAATCTGATTTGCTAGAATTTTGTTGAGGATTTTAGCATCTATGTTCATCAAGGATATTAGCCTGTAGTTCTCTTTTTTTGTGTGGTGTCTTTATCTCAGTAGTTCTCAACCTTCCTAATGCCATGACCCTTTAATTCAGTTCCTCATGTTGTGGTGACCCCCAATTTCATTGTTACAAATAGAACGTAATTAAAGCATAGTGATTAATCACACAAAAAAAATATGTAATTATATATGTGTTTCCCAATCGTCTTAGGTGACCCCCTGTGAAAGGGTTGTTCAATCCCCAAAGGGGTCGCGACCCACAGGTTGAGAACCGCTGGTTTGGAGGATTTGTCCAGTGGTGATAGAGGGGTATTAAAGTCTGTAACTATGACTGTATTGCTGTCAATCTCTCCCTTGATATCCTCCAGAAGTTTTTTTTATGTATTTGGGTGTTCCTGTATTGGGTGCATATATGTTTATCAGAGTTATTTCTTCTTGTTGGATTGGTCCCTTAAATGTTATGAAGTGGCCTTTCTTATCTGTTGTTATGTCCTTCACTTTGAGATCTAATTTGTCCGATATAAGTATTGCAACCCCATTTTTTTTTTTCATTTCCATTCGCCTGAAAACCCTTTTACCATCCCTTCACCATCAGTCTGTGTGAGTCCTTTTTTCTGAGGTGGGTTTCCTATAGACAGCAGATATAGGGGTCATGTTTTCTTATCCACTCAGCTCCCCTATGTCTTTTGATTGGGGCATTTAATCCATTTACATTTAAAGTTATTATTGATAAGTGTTTGTCGCCATTTTTATTCTTTATGCCTGTGTTCCTTCTCTTCCTATTTCTTCTTTTTACAGCAGACCCTTTAGCATTTCTTGCATTGCTGGTTTGGTGGTAATAAACTCCCTTAGTCTTTTTTGTCTGTCAAGCTCCTGATTTCACCCTCAATTTTGATTGATAGCTTTGCTGGGTACAGTATTCTTGTATTCAGACCCTTCCTTTGCATGACTTTGTATATTTCATTCCATTCCCTTCTGGTCCGATGTGTTTCTGTTGAGAAATCAGTCGCCAGTCTGATGGGGGATCCTTTGTAGGTAACTTTTTGTCTCTCTCTGGCCGCTTATAATATTCTTACTTTGTCGTTGGTGTTTCCCAATTTAATTATAATGGCCTTGGCATCGGTCTTTTGGGGTTCATTTTGTTTGGGACACTGTGATCTTCTTGGATTTGTGTGAGTTTTTTCTTCCCTATATCAGGGAAATTTTCTGTCATTATTTCTTCAAACAGGTTTTCTATTCCTTGCTCACTTTCCTCTCATTCTGGCACCCTATTATGCAGATGTTGTTTCATTTTGTTTTGTCCCAAAGCTCCCTTGGGCTCTCCTCCTTTTTTTTAAGTTTTTTTTCTAGATGCTGCTCTGCTCTGCTCTGCTTGGGTATTTTTTCCTACGTTGTCTTCTAGCTCACTGATGCGGTCCTCTGCTTCTTCTAGTCTACTGTTGATGCTTTCTATTGAGTTCTTTATAGCAGGGATGTCATTTTTCATTTCTTCTTGGTTCTTCTTCATTTCCTCTTGGTTTTTACACATATTGTTGAATTTGTCTTCCATTCTTTTCAGCGACCTTATGACCATTTCTCTGAATTCTTTCTCTGACATATTGTTTGCCTCCACTTCATTTCCTTCCTTTTCTGCTGATGCCTCTTTTTTTTCATATGCGGGCTGTTTCTTTGTCTCCCCATGATCGTTCCTCTCAAGGTGTCTGGTTCTGTAGCTCGCTCTCTCCTGCGTTGATTTAAAAGCACA